CTATTTGAAGTGTTCCTTGAACATTCTCGCGCGCGGGCTATTTGCCTTCTTTCTCACCACAAGCACCAACCACTTGTGATGATTAATTTCGCAAAACCCACACTATTCAGGTTCTTAATTGATTGCCGCATCGAAATACTTCCTCTAGAACTAGATCTATCTACCCTCAGAATGTTTCTAATCTTGTTCCATAGCCTTAGTTTTCTCTACATTTCTTTTGATCTCGCACGCAGAAACATCATATGCTTGATACCTTCACATGGCAAGCATGGCATCCTCCAACGTTGGAATATGCTTATTTGCTAGTATCGTCCGGCAAGGAATTAGCCATGGAAAAGTCTCCATCCAAAGATTTTGATTTTTTCCCCAGGATCTCCAACTTCCATAGCTTCTTCCATACCTGATTATCCACAGTGCCGTTTGCATTCACTGCCACCTGGTTACTGCGGACTCTGTTTACCCCTTGGCAACGGTATGCTGATCTAACAGAAAATAATCTATTTCGGTTGTGATGCCATGCAACTACATCTTCCCTGCCCGTGAAAATCGGGTTTTGCAGGATGCGATGAACGTCAACAGGCTAAAAATAGTTAAATAATATAAATAAAAACTTATTATTTGAATATACACGAAATTCGTGATTTTCAGCCGGTATCTTCTCTCGTTACCGAAAAAAATAATCCCACCTGGCCCCGTGATTAAGGATGTAGGTGGGGCGGCAGCGGCTAACCCGCCCCCACTTAATTAGCACGCCCATACTTCCGCTAGCATATATTAGCAAAACAGTGTAGACACACATACAACAGGGGCAGCCGCCGGGCAGCAACGCGGGAGCTTCGAGTCCGACGGTGGGGATGAGTACATGAACTGCCTGCAGCTGCCGGCCACCGCTCCGGGCGTGCCCCGGCAGCATCAGATTGGCAGCATCATGTTGGCGCCTTGGCGGCCAGTCGCCCCACGTCCAGCAGCGGAGGATGCCTCGAGATCGCCATCGCCTCGTCCCACCTGACGGGGACCACGGACGGTGACGGCGACCCGGAGGAAAGCTCGCCCACAGCGCGTAGGAACCGGGCGATCCCGGTGCCGTCGGCGACGGCGTGGCTTCAGATCACCCCGAGGACGAAGCCGCTGCAGGTGAACTCAGTGACCTGCACGGATAGTAGAGGGTCGTCGGCGCCGTAGCCGCTCATGACCGGGTAGTAGACGGCGAGCTCTTCCAGCAAAGAGGTCCTCGTGCCGGTGCCGCCACGTGATCTCTCGAAGAGCTTCGATGCTTCGCTCAGGGAAGGATGCGGACGCGGCGACGAGCTCCGCTGCGTATTCTACGTCGCACCATCGCGTTCCATCAGAGCGGGATGTGGGTTGCCGCTAGGATACGCGGGTTTCCCACTTCAGCCCACTCTATCTAAGTGGGCTACTTTGCGGGCTTACACGGGTTGGTGCCGCGGGCAGCCCAGCAGGTTGGCGCATTGCATGAGTGGTCCGCGTTCCTAAACTTGATAAATGGCGCATTGCATGTCCATTTTTGGACCATATCAAACCATTGTGGTGGAGCACTTAACCAATTTAGAGACCTAGGGATATATTTTCATATTTCATGAATCTAAGGAACACGTCTTGACAAATTCGAAGTCACTAATACATTTAACTCTACGTAGAAATATTAACATTTATAATACATAATAATTTATTGCTAGATTGATAATACCTTTTCATAATAAACTTATCCAAATTATATATAAGCCTATTTTTTAGGGATACCATGCGACCAGTTTTATTGATTCATAAGAATAGTTATATCATTTACAAGCCCTACTGAGATAAAATTAGGAGGACCATCAACCCAAATACAATTGTTGTTCAGACTAAAACCTCGCCTAGCTAGCTCATGCGCTACTCGGTCTGCATCCTTTTGACAGTGTTTGATGGAAACATCAACGAGGTCCCTCCACAACGCATATCATTCATCATAGATTACCGCCGCTGTAATTGACGGAAAAATCTCTGTTCTCCATTGTTTCAACCACCATCGGACTATCTGACACAATGATCACTCTACTAGCACTAATTTGTTGAGCTAACAACATTGCATCCTTCGACGCATATGCCTCTGCCCTATGCACAACAGTTACATGGGAGGTGAAATTGTTGGACGCCGCCACAAAATCTCCCCCACAACCCCTGATGATCACTCCCATGCTACCTCCTCCAGACACCGGATCAAAAGCCGCATCCACATTTACCATAAGCTTTCCTTTCTGGTGGGTTGATCCAACCAATCTGCACTTTTGCTCCTTTCTTCATTGACAACTTGTAGTTGGTTGAAAGTGCAGCAATTGCTAAAGCTGTTTGAAGTGTTCCTTGAACATTCTCGCGCGCGAGCTATTTGCCTTCTTTCTCACCACAAGCACCAACCACTTGTGATGATTAATTTCGCAAAACCCACACTATTCAGGTTCTTAATTGATTGCCGCATCGAAATACTTCCTCTAGAACTATATCTATCTACATTCAGAATGTTTCTAATCTGGTTCCATAGCCTTAGTTTTCTCTACATTTCTTTTGATCTCGCACGCAGAAACATCATATGCTTGATACCTTCACATGGCAAGCAGGGCATCCTCCAACGTGCAGATTGGTTGAATATACACGAAATTCGTGATTTTCAGCTAGTATCTTCTCTCGTTACCGAAAAAATAATCCCACTTGGCCCCGTGATTAAGGATGCAGGTGGGGCGGCAGCGGCTAACCCGCCCCACGTCCGCGCTACCTGCAAACGCATCGCGGGCTGATGCGGCGAGCCCGCAACGGCCGCACAACGCATGCGGCAAGATGCGGGTTCCGCCAGCACACTTAATTAGCACGCCCATACTTCCGCTAGCACATATTAGCAAAACGGTGTAGACACACATACAACAGGGGCAGCCGCCGGGCAGCAACGCGGGAGCTTCGAGTCCGACGGTGGGGATGAGTACATGAACTGCCTGTAGGTGCCGGCCACCGCTCCGAGCGTGCCCCGACAGCATCAGATTGGCAGCATCATGTTGGCGCCTTGGCGGCCAGTCGCCCCACGTCCAGCAGCGGAGGATGGCTCGATATTGCCATCACCTCGTCCCACCTGACGGGGACCATGGACGGTGACGGCGACCACCGGGAAAGCTCGCCCACGGTGCGTAGGAACCGTGCGATCCCGGTGCCGTCAGCGACGGCGTGGCTTCAGATCACCCCGAGGACGAAGCAGCTGCAGGTGAACTCAGTGACCTGCACGGATAGCAGAGGGTCGGCGGCGCCGTAGCCGCTCATGACCGGGTAGTAGAGGCGAGTTCTTCCAGCAGAGAGGTCCTCGTGCCGGTGCCACCATGTGATCTCTCGAAGAGCTTCGATGCTTCGCTCAGGGAAGGATGCAGACGAGGCGATGAGCTCCGCTGCGTATTCTACGTCGCACCATTGCGTTCCATCTGAGCGGGACGTGGGTTGCCGCTAGGATACGCGGGTTTCCCACTTCAGCCCACTCTAAGTGGGCTACTTTACGGGCTTAGAGCATCTCCAAGTATTTCCTGAATTTTCCTCCTAAAATTTTTATGTTTTTTAACTCCTAAAAATATATTAGGAGAAAAAAAGACCACCTTCAATAGTTCATAATATTTCACTTCTTGATAATCAAATTTGGGTCCCACTTAGCTTTTTTTGCGTTCTTTTTTTTCCGTGCTTACCTCTTTGTCCCCGCGTATACGTACGCCGCCACCACCATTTTCCTTCGCGTTGCCCTAGCTCTGCTCGTCCCAGCTGGCGGCCTGCTCCTCCCAGCCGGTCGTGGTCTCCTCCCAGCACTTGTAGTGGTTCAGTACCACGCATGCATACAGTACCATGCAACAGTACGCAGCAACTAGGCATCAGCAGGTTGCCGGCCATCAAGCAGCAGCAGCAGCAGGTAGCCATCAGCTTGCAGCCGGTCATCAAGTATTTCCCAAGTGCGTAACTTTGATGTATACAGGGGATCGATACATGTTACTACTATAGATCGATTAGATAGATGGATGGATGTTGATGCAACTCCGAAATCAAATGGGCGGCCGGCCGCCGGCGGGGCAATCGAACAAGAAAGGAAGCATGACACCACCTCCCAGCCTACGACGACGGTGGCCAGCACGAAGCCAAGGTGGCGTCCGCGGCGTAGCAAGCCCACGTCCGCGGCGGCGTCGATCCTCTTCTTGGTGCCGAGCGATGGAGCGGCTAGTTCCTGGTGGCGAGCGATGGAGGAGCGACTTCTTTCTACCGCGACCCAGAACCACCGATGGAGAGCGCACGAAAGATGGCCTCGCGGCAAAATACGGCGCGGGAAGAAGGACGGCGCGCGGGAACGGCGTCTCCACACGCGGCACGTCTGCGTAAAGTTACGCGGAAGGGGGATGGGTTTTCCAAGTCCTAAAATATTAGAAGTAAATATTATGAGTTGTTAGAAAGATTTTTTTTTTATCTTTCTAAAAAGAGAGAATGTCTGGAGAACTTTTAGAGATGCTCTTGCACGGGTTGGTGCCGCGGGCAGCCCAGCGGCTTGGCGCGGCGGATCGCCCCACCTTGCATCTTTACCCGTGATTCTCGTAGCGGCCGACCCCATCCATCAGTCTAACGCGGTAAACGCCAGTCCAAAAATAAGTACCCCCGCCACCCACAGCGAACCGTTCCCACGAGGCTCGGCCAATGACAGCCAGACCCCACCCTTGTCGTATCCCACATGACATTGAGCAGGCCATTCCACATGGGCCCCCCGGACGCCGCCGCCCGTCTCCCTCCGCGAGTCCGCGTGTCCCGGCTACTCCTCTCGGCATTTCTCTTTGGTCGTGGGGTGTCCCCCTCTCTTCCAATATTGCCTCTCTTCCCCACGAGGCCACGACTGAAAATTTCCTGCCAAATCGAAACCCCCTCGCGCGACGCCAAGACGGAGAGGAGAACAATAGGGGAAGGGGAAGGCCCAGGGGGAAGCCACGGCCACCGGTGCGATGAAGCCGTCGCAGTCGAAGAAGAAGGGCAAGAAGAAGAAGTCCTCGCCGCCGTCCGCGGCGCCGGCCCCTGCGCCGGGGGAGGGGACTGCGGATTCGGAGGCCTGCTCCCCGCTGCCCGGAACCCAAACCCTAGCCGCCGCCACCGCGGCGGCGGCGGTTTCGGAGACGGAGTCCAGCAGCAGCGGCGAGGCCTCGACGTGCGCGTCGTCGGCCTGCTTCACCGCAAGCTCGTCGGGGACGGCGTCCTCGTCCTCCTTCTCTGCCTTCTCCTCGTCGGCGTCCACCGCTTCGTCGTCGGCCGCCGGCGAGGAGCGGTGGGACCTCACGTGGCTGCTCGACGCGTTCGCCAGCGCCACCATCGACCAGATCGACTCCGCCTACCGCGAGGCCGGCGGGGACCCCTTCGTGGCCGCCGGCATCCTGGGCTCCACGCAGGACACGCAGCCGCCGCAGCCACCACAGCCGGCGCCGCAGCCCCCGCCACCACCGGATCTCTCGCCGCGCAGTGGATCTGGTGGAAGGAAGGCTGGTCGGAGGCCCAAGCGGGTTGCGGTGGCCGCTACGGGCATGGTCGCGGACGTTATTGGCAAGGAATACACGCGGCCCGCGACTACTCCTGTAAGCGTGCCAAATGCGTGGAAGGGTCGGGATGGGGAGAGGGATGGCGGGTCTGGTGGCCGCAAGTACAGCGTTGAAGAGGCAGAGCAATTCCTGTGCTCCATGCTCGGGGATAATTCCGAGCTTGGCATGGGTGTTGTCAGAGACGTGCTCGGTGAGACATTTTTCACTTGCTGGTCTATAGTTGTCTATTCAGAATGCTGCATTTTGACCATTCCGTTCCGTGCCATGCCCCATTTCACTACTCAGCTGAATTTTGGACCTTGAATTTGTAAACCCTATGCCCTTAGATGTTGCGAGTGTTCAAAAGATGTTCTTTTTACTGGCTTGCATACATATAGAGTTCTATTAGGAGCGAAACATAAAAAAGGATCCTTAACATAAAATCTTCAGTGAATTTTCAACAAAAATCTTGTGAAAAAAATAATCTTCTGGCTCATTGTTGTTCAAACATGAACCTGAAAGTCATTAACCTCTTTTTTTGTCCCCCTTTATTACATGGGAAAATTACGAAGGGCGATGATGGCATTTGAACTCTTGGTCTGTTAGTATATTTTTCAGTGCTGTGTGCTTTGCCTTTACCAATGAAAATGAAAAGGAGTAATATACTGTCTAATTAACTCATGATGTGTGGCAAATTGATTGGACGATGCCACTTACAGCACCGATGTATCAATGGACAAGCTAAAGATGGTGGCTTTGGGTGAGAGGTCCTTTGGTCAGGAACATTTGCAAGATTGGATTTTCAGTTAGTCATGTGAAAGGACTTGCAAGTTGCAAGGCTCAGAGAAAGTAGATTATGGCCAAGGTCCAGATGCACCAGTTAAGTGGATCGATGGCTTGCTGCTATGGAAAGATGTGTTTCAGCTTATTAGCTGTGCTTACGTTGGGATGTGAAGTGGAATGTTGCTTTTACTCTCTTTTTTTTTTTTGCTATCTTTATGGGAAAACTAGACAACATTTTGGTCAACTGAAAGATTCAATTTTTTCATAGAGTTGCTCTATCTGGTGTACACTTATTCCATCTCTTTGTTTGCCAAACAACTGCACTTTTTGACTTGTTCTAAAAGTTGTGAATTCGGTTATGTGTGTAGCGATCGGCTGAATTGACTGTTTTAGTTCCGGAACGGGCTGTACTTTTTTCAGTACTAAAAGATTAACTTTTGGCATATTTTTGTGTTTTCAACTAAGTTGATCGATTTAAATATATTGAAAATAGCTTCTTAGTATTTGTTTTATTTCTACAACTTGCACGGCATTTGTATGTTTATTTGATTGGAACGATATCTCGTGTTGATATTTTCATCTCGTCCATTTGCAGGTCAGTATGGGTATGATGTTGAGAAGGTAAAATTTATTTTATTGGGTACACTGTGTTTTTACCTCTTTTTTTTTTTTAATTTCAACAAAATCCCACCTATTGGTTTGAGTAGAAACTGGCCTGTTCTCTGTGTCAACCATGTTTTTTTTGCCTTCAGTAAATATCACTTTCAGGCCAGATAACACTTTGTTCTGGGGTTAGCCTTTGTATCTACAGGTGTATAAAATGTAGCAGAAATGGTGCTGTGGGTTAGCGTCCTTGATATGCTAGTCTTGTGCATATGTGGCTGTCACGGGCCAGTGGCCGCTATTCAGGACACTCTTGAACTATTGATTGATGTGCCTGATACTGTTAAGTGTTAGTTGTAGCATTTGCCTATTTGGTGCACTATTTTTTTTAGACTGTTGTGTTTTTGTAAGAGCTTTCTACCATCTATCAGTCTAGAAGTCCTTGATGGTTTAGCATCAATTAGTAATATATAGCTACAGTGTGTATCAATGTCATTGAATTTCTTTGGTTGTTTAGTGAGCTCAACAATATTTTAACTGTTCACACCAACTGATCTTTCACATTTAGAGCCAAAATTAGGATATGAAGACATTATCTTGGTCACTTGACTTTATCTTGGTCACATTCATGGTTTTATTGATTTTTCTTTGATCCTCTTGTTCTTTTTCGAGGATTCCATATATAATTCCTCGTGTTTAAGGAAGAAGTTACAATTACTTATGAAACCACTGAGGACTCTTCTTTTTGTCTTGCATGTTCCTTCTCATTGCCAGGAATGAGTCCCTGCTTTGTGTTTTGAATGGATGCTATTCTGTTGGTTTGTACAGTTGTGCTAATCAAGTGCTTTCAGGCTTTGGATGCATTGCTTGATATATCTGGTGTGTCTTCCGTTGAAAACATGGAAACAAATCATCAAAATGCTGGAAGGAATGACACCCGGCATCTATATATGTTCCCTGGAAATGGGTTATCAGTGGACAATCTGACTGCAGGGAATAGAAGAAGTTTACGACAGGTGTTTGCTTAGCACAGTTTTAGTTTAATGCTCGCTCTCTTGGATGCTAAAGATATGAATTGATATTTTGTCTGGATGAAATTGAAACTTATCTTTATTAAGTGCTGTTTGTATTAGAAATGGGTGAGTTCACAAGACATGTTATTTTTCTAAAAAATGAATTTGCACAGTATGATATATTTATTACTACATCCATCACTATGATATTTCGGAATGCATGTACTGAAACGTTGACCAGAAACAGATTCAAACCAAATGAGAGCATACTGCTAGATAGAATCGGTAACCCTAGTTTGTCAGAAATATTTTTCCCTGACATTGCGGTTTTGGAACGATGATTAACACAATCAGAAAAAGTGTCCAAATATCTGTGTTTTGTTACCGTTTTGATTTCTGAAACAAGAAGATAACATGTTTATTTAGGCTGTCAACATGGTTGATGTAATTTGCAAATACATGCAGATTTGTCATATATATTAACTTCAATGTGATTTTGTAGCTCTTTGCTGAATATTATCAGTTATTTTTGTTGTACTTTGGTCTCTAGTTTGTTTCAAACCATGGCAGTTACGTATGGTGGCAATTAGCAGGAAATGCAATAAAAGTATAAAACATTTGTAGTTATCTCGTTTGTTGTGGGTAGCCTTTTGTTCCAAACTGATGAAAATTCTAACTTAATTGGGAATGATGTTCTATTAAGTTTGCTATTTACCTCAGAATTGCATTTTGTGCTCCTGATTCCTGTTTGTGGCCAATATTTTTGTTATACTTTCCATATGAAATCCTTTTTATAATATTCTAACTTTTAATTAATTCTACTCAGTTGACAGATGAGATATCCAACACTAGGTTCCAGTCTGAATTAGGACATGAGTTTTTGTGGGGTGAACCTCAGATCAGGTGAGCCAACTCAGCTAAATGATTTGGCCAAATGTTCAGTTTACTAACATATTATGCTCAGTTAAATTTTGTTTGGCATCGCTTGTATAATTGTTTACTTGTTATAGATGTAATATGCTGAAAGAAAAATTTAGAGAAATGGTGTTCTAGGGATCCTTTCCTTCTTTTGTAGTTTTGGCTTTTGTTCAATCAGCTGTTGCATGGCTATAAAGATCAACTAGTAGGAGGATCTACTTTCCAGAAACCATAGGTGGAGTTGCTTTTTGTGGGGATTGCATTGGGGATATGAATATTGTAGTGACTATAAGGGATGCCAAATTGAGGAAGTATCTTCTGAACCCACCCAGCAATTTGGTAAGGGTTTGGGCCTCTGGGGCATGCAACTGTCCTGTGATTTGTCCCATTTAGCCTGGGCTGATTCACAACCACTATTTTCTATTCTCTCCGTTCCAAATTGTAAGTCGTTTTGGCTTTTCTAGGTACATAGCTTCTGTTCAAACATTGAGACCACCTTTTCCTCTCACCTCTCAATCCATTGTCATTTCGGTGTTTTGGCTGTTGTCACCACTCCAAATTGAATAACCACCTCAATTCCCTCTTGTGCTATTATACTGTGATGGCGACATCCATGTGATCATAGACGATGAGCCGTTGCACATCTGACGTCCCACAGTGACATCCACGGGCTCTAGTCACCATAGGGCGTTTTGTGGATAAGGCCTAGATGAGTTGGTGGGAGACAAAGTAGATGTAGGTAGGATGAAAAAGAAATGCCAAAGTGACGATGAGATACAATTTTTCCAGTAGTTTCGATTCCAGTGGTGCACAAAGCGGCTTGCATGCTTGCTCTGAATTGGTTGGTTTAGCTTCACAAAGTCCTATTAAATTACATTCGCCACACTAGCCAAGGCTGTCTTGTGCACCTTTCATGCACTATACTGTATTGGTTTTTTTTTCCATATATATGACGCAGGAGAGCTGCGTATCATTTCATTAAGAGAGAACTTTATTAGTATATTTATGCCACTGGATTGGCATTTCGGTTTGGTGATTTTCTGGTTATTTTCTAAGCAAGCCTCATTTATCCCTTGAGCCATCACTGTGCTATGGCCACACCTAGTTTTTCTTCATCTCCTCATGACTGTTTAATTTACTGAGCAAGCCTCAGTAACCCCTTGAGCATAAACATACTGATGCAGCTCTTTATTACCCTAATAATGGTTGGCTTAAATCGTCCAGCTAGTTATTTCCAAGTTGTTAACGCCTTTAATTAGTGCGTATGTATTTCGACCCTGGTTTTCATGTAACTGGCTGTTGTTTATGACAAGCTTGATATTTTGTTCTATAGCTATGCGGAGGCTGTTAAAGAGTCACCACATTCACCAACATTGCCTTCAAGATCAACTGTAGCGAAAGCTGGTCCACAACAAGTCCTCGATTCATTGTTTAAAATTCCTGAAATACGCACATATGAGCCAAGCTCTATGGACTGGAAAAAGGTAGTAAAGAAACTGCAAACGTTCAATTATGCCGCCGCATCAAACAACCAAGAAAGGCCTAAGAATGGTATGTAACATTTGTATAATTGACCTAATCTATTTGGATTCAGTACTGTTGGTTGTTATCTATATGACCCGTTTTATATGTTCAAGCAAGTCCACATTAAAATAGAGTGCTGACTGCTGATCTATGGCTAAAATATTTCCTTTCCTTTCCGGTCCATTGGGACCTGGCCTAATCACTTCCACTGAAACAATGACTGTCTACACATTTTTTTCTTCTAATTTTACGTAATCAGTGTCCTTATATTGAAACCATTTTTGATAGATCTATTTGCAGCTACATGTATTATTCTCGTTCACCCATTGGCTATTACATATATTTTTAATTGTTGATGCAATTATTATTGCTTTATGTTAAGGGGATGGTTATCGTGAGTTCCGTGGTGTTGCTGTGAGGCATTATGATAAAATGAAAGAATACTATCAGAAAGTATGTTTTTTGTGCCGAGTTTTGCTTCAGTCAATTTGATCATAGAAGTTCCTTCTTCTTTTTTGTTATTTCTTATTGTTTCCTCATTTCTCCCTGACAGGCTGCCCTGGCATATTCAAAGGGTGACAAGTCATATGCTTCTTACCTTGCTGAGGAGGTGAGAATTCAAACTGTGATATGCAAAGGCTAAGTTATCTGTGGCACTGTTAAAAAAACAGGAAAATGAAGCTCTTGATCTTCCATGTTAAATGGTAGACGAGGATGTTCTAGCTGATGTGCTAATGCTGTATTCTTACAGCCGAAAAAGCTAGCACATCATATGCTTTTACCCATAACAAGGGTCCATACTCGAATGCTCCTGTTAGCAGTAACCCTATCATCCAAACAGTACATACCTGGTGTATGCAGGATGGTCTTAATTCCTAAATGATATAATGTTGCTGTATTCCTACAAACCAAAACCTAGTATAGCGGACGTCTTCTCCCAAATACGCAGCCTAATGCCTATAGCACCAGAACTTGGGAAGTACAGACAATTGCTACTTTGGTGTGAACTTCCAAGTTATAGTTTTTTTTGCTGGAATGCTCCTGCCAGCATTAACCCCATCATCAAACAGAACAAAATAATCAGTTGTCTGCACTTAGGTGGTTGAGTGTCAGTCACCCCCCCAAGTAACTCGAATAATTTATTTTCTCTTTGTTTTAGGGGAAACATTATCGTGAACTGGGTCGCTTAGAAGACGAGAAGGCCAGCAGGAATATATTTGAAGCCAGGTAATAATCACTCATTCAAATACTTTTGGTAACTTGGTTCTGACTTCTGAGATCTAATCTCCTGTTTGCAGAAATAAGCATATAACGAATACAATAACCATCGACTTGCATGGCCAACATGTCCAACAAGCTATGAACCTTCTCAAACTTAACATGATGGTTTGTATTTGCATGCCATGTGAGTACCACACAAGATTTGATACTGTAGTCTCTGCCAGTGCTTTAATTCACGCCACTCAGCTATCTGTGTTTATCTAATGCTTTATTGTGCCTTTTTCTGTTTTTTATGCCTTTGTTATTTAAACAGCTGTCTTACTGAGGGTGATTACTGGTTGTGGTTCAGAAGGTACAGGGAAGGGAAAAATAAAGCGCTCGGTAAGAAAGTACCTCTTTGGGTAGTAACTCTAGTTATTCTCATGTGCTGTTTCCATGATAATTCTCAAGCATTGCATATGTTAAAATTTTAATGCTATTCCTAAAGTCCTTCGTTGTAAAAATCATGTTATGACTCATAGCCAAAGCTTGCACTCTCAAGTCAGGCATTCTTGAACAAGTCGGTTTCTTGGCACACTGTCACTTTCTCAGGCTCCTTGCTCCCTGCATGTTAAGCCTATTTTCTTGTCTACACTTGCCACAATTGTGCCATCGATTCTTTTGCCACAGTAGTGCCACGCTACAGGTTGACAGACTTTGTATTTATATTTATTCTCACAAAATGTGGCTAGCACAAGAATGCGGTACTATTTGCAATTTGTATGCTGTGATTATATGTTTCAGTTTAGTTGGATTTTACTGTGAAGGTCCAAACAATGTTGTTGTAATTGATAGTTGAACTTTTGTAATATAAATGGTGACAGGTTATAGAGCTTGCAGAGAAGGAACATATTGAGTGGCGCGAAGAGAACTCTGGAACTGTAGCCCTTCGGCTTGGTGGGCCAAGAGAGTATCGGTTCCTTGAGCATGAAAACGATTCTGACTAAGCGGGGAAGCCTTTTGAGGAGACTTTAACATAGATTAACTTGTGATCTAATCTATGTATCCGCGTATTTATCTGTATTTATGTGTTATGATTATGGATGCCTAGGCTGTGATGTAGGCTGTAGTAGTTCTGACACAGAAGTTTGGTATAATGTTGATCCCAGGCTGCTAACTCTAATGTAGTCTGAAGCTCTGTACACCCGTCTAGTCTAGTTGTTATGATGTGCTTCTGTGGACAATGTAAGACAGGAGCTGCAATCAAGTGTAAAACTATCGTGATGTTTTGTTGAAGAATATCATGGTATGACTGATTGCCAACTCATGCTGTTGAAAATAAGCTTTCGCGGGAAGCATGCCTGAACCCCTTCGGATAATCAACTTTGGCTTGTACCGATTGGAACTCATATGATCTGTATCCGAATATACTCCATACGTTTAACAAACTTAAACCTTGTTTCCTCATAGTAAAAGAATCTTCAATCTGAAAAGTTTGTTGAGAAAATATGAATGTTTACATTTTCAAACATATTTATTATGGAAATATATTTAATACTTCATAAATATTACTTTCTTTGCCAAAGAAAAGAATGTAACTCTTATTCTGGAGAGTCAAAAAAGTACCTGACCAAATATATATAGAAATGGACTTATATTTATTATGTGTAATAAGTATTTCTAGACGAAATATGTAATATAATTGTGTAATAAATATAATTAAAAATGAATATTATTCTTTTTATAAAGCTAGTACAACTTAAGATTTTCAGCCTGTTCGGTAGGCTGGCTGGTGCTGGGCTTATCAGCCCAGCCGTTCGGCAGCCCAACACCAGCCGAACGGTTGGAACTTATACCCGTTGCTTGGTCGCGTCTCTCACTTTCTCCCCTTTCTCCCGTCGGTGGTTAGGGTTCCACACACCCGCACCGCTCCTCGCCATCGCTCCGCGCATTTACCGGCGGTAGTCCGCGCCGCGTCAACGGGCGGCGTCGGTGGCCACCGGATCCGGGCGCGGCCGCCTTTGTACGCCGTCCTCCTCATCGGGGTTGTGGTTACCGTGTCGTCGTCCTCTTCCCCCACCCCGCCTTCCAGCGATGGCGCCTACGGCCAGGCAGGTAACCTGAATCCCACGCTTCCGTCCTCTCACCTGTCCGCCTCTGAGCCGTAGCTGGTCGTCTTGTAATTTGACCTCCGCGCGGCTAGGGTTTCCCTCACTCTCGTCGGCTTCGGTGACAGTGGTCTCGGCCTCCCTCCCCGGATCCATCAATGGCAACTCCTTCCAGAACGGTAAGCCCCCCGGAACCCGACGCCGGCGGAGTTTGACCCCGTCGGATCTGAGATCCAACATGTACTCATGTCTGCTCCTCTATGTGTCCGATAGAAATCCCCACATCTTGTTTCTATATTACAGAAGTGCTCTACGTACATATTTTAGGACTATGTTTCTGAATACTTTCCGAACAGATCTGGCAGATGATGCTTAATGGCTTAGTTAACCTTCGAATCACCTTTTGCTAACCGTTGTTTGGGTTTGCAGTCAATTTTTGCTATTAGTAACATAAGTTCCCGAACCATTTATGGTTATTAACGTTCTCATCTTGTTTGGTCGGTTTGTAAGGTTACGCTCGGTATAGTGTTGAGGTGGAGCTGCAAGATGTCATGTCATTTGTTTGGTGCACATGTTCTATAATTTTGTTTGGCAACTGGTTGGCCATGAGCTACTTAGTTACGCTGATCCCCCTGATAACATAAATGCTCTTTAATTACTCCTGTTAATCCATATGTTTTGTGCTACCTCGATGTCACCATTTGGCCACGGATGATTACGACTTGTAGTGGTAATTAGGAGCTAAGAAGTCTTTGAGAGCAATTTAATGGAAGCTTCGTCGCAAGCTTATGTTGTTAATGTATTGCTTTCCTCATTTGCCTTCATCGAGAAGCTGAGTTAGTTTAGTTATTTTGCAAGACGGCATTTTCCTTAACTTAGTTTCTCAGTTTTGTTCGATTGATTTGGCTGAATTTGTAACATGTTTGGAGTAGTAGTCGATTTCTGTTGTTATTAACTTTGTTCCTGTGCGATATAGGGTTATGTCCTACGAGTTATCGAGTCTAATGATTCATTGTTGTGTTAAATGTCAAACAACAATTCAAGGCAACTATGTCTATCCCGCCAATCTACAACTCTTTTTCAGCTCCAGTCAAGCACTCAGCAGAGCTACGTGCAATCAACAAAACCCAGTTGATGCATGGAATCTACTGCAATACCCATGGTTTCTAGATTACAAAATGTGCTTAACTATAGCAAAATTTTGATTTAAGATTGCAATGAACACGATATTTACAATGTCCACAGATCTTCACCCCTTTAAATGTTCAATTTTTCAGATTATGTTTTTCATCTTACAAGTGTGCTCTATGATTGCACTGCAGACAAAGAAGGGACGTTTCGTCCGGTTGTGATCAATGCTGCCCAAACTGGTAGCGTCGTCGGCTTCGTCTTGCTCTCCAACTGCTGGCAGCCACTACAACCTCCGCTCAAACCGCCGCAAACGGCCACAAAAGGCAAGTTAGGGATATGATTTGTCAATTTGCTGTTTGGATTTGGGGTTTAGTTCTCTTTTGGTCATGTTACAGTGACAGTGAATGGTGGTCCTTACGCACCACGGTCATTCTTGTGGTTAAGTTGCTTGCCTCATCTCTTGCTTTTCGCCATGAAATTTTGTATGTATGCTCACCATGAGACTGGTTGGACTTTGTGCTTCTATGTTGCCTTGGTTTTCCCTGATGGACAATCTTGGCTTCGACATTTGCTTTTGGAAGGTTGTTACTTGGTTGGACTTTGCAGCATTGAAAAGACAAGGCAAACTATATTATGGTTGACATGTCTTCCATTCCATTGACAAGTATGGTGTGTCTTCTGTACGGCAGTCAACCATCTAGTTTGTTCTTAATGTGTTCACAATAGACCCGCTGTCTCCCCCTTTTGGTAGTTCGCCTTTTGGTGTCCACCACTTATTATCTGAGTTGCCAACTTGATATGCAGGGAGTTCCATCCTCCATTATGTTGACATAAGCCACATGACTGTGATTTCTCTCTTTTTTGTGTGTGTTGGCTCAGTTTTTAGTTTTCAGCAGATTCTAATACAATGTCCTAACTGGTGATTACATTTTGGTACTACTACATTACTAATAGCTTTGTCGATCCTTGAATCAGATGAGCCAGGACCGTGCTTGCTGGGATGACAGAACAACCTCTCTACTTCTTGACCTAATCATCCAGCAGAAAGACCTCTGTCACTGGAGCGGTGCCCATGGTCCAACCTCACTAGGTTGGACCAATATCGTTCATGCCTTCAACGAAGTCACGAACCTCGAGTACAACAAGAAAGTGTGCCAAAACAAGTACAACAAGCTGAAATGTTGTTACTTAAATTGGCGCGACGGACAGACCCATACTAGGCTAGGCCGTGACCCGCTAACTGAAGAGGTTACAGCTGACCCCGAGTGGTACGGCGCCAGCCCCGGGGTACTAACTACACGCATTTCTTTGATTTTTTGTAGCAATTAGGTTCCTACTAACTCATTACTAACTTCGCCATCACTGGAACACGTGCAGGAAAGTAGCCAACCCGCTAGAAACAAGTTCAAACGGCCCCAATGCTGTGAGCAACTGATCACGATTTTGGGACACACCCCAAGTGACAGGGGCCAGTTGGTATCGACGGGGGGCCATCGACCTGACAAGTCACCCAGTAATGGAAGCCCTCGCACTCGTCCATCCTTGTCGGATGAGCCAGTCGTTCCACCTAGTAGTCATCAGCCCTCGAAGCGAGCCCATAGAGAATATTCAGTTAACAGTCCTCGCAGCAAGAAGAGTAGCCAAACTCCATCCGTAGAAGAGTGCCTTGAAGACCTAGGCCAATTTCTCAGAGAGGCTAGATCCCAGAAGGCCCGTCGTAACGCCGATGCTCAGGAGTTGGCCCAAGTCCAGGACATTCTGATTCAAGATGGTATCAGCGAGGCTGATGCAGTATTCGTGCAAGCCCTAAACCTTTGTAGAGACAGGCTCCGTCGTCAGGGTTTTCTTAAAATGAAATCTAAAGAGGGCCGGCTAAACTGGATTAATGTGACGTGGGACTTTGTGTGCTCCAACAAGTCCCAGTGATCAACACATTTCTTGTTTTTCTACTGTTTGTGGTTATCCACCATGTGCATGTTGAGTTCCTTCTGTTCGTTGTTTCGTTATGTTCGTTTTTTTGCATTACCAAAGACATTGCATGTATCACCTATCTGTTGAGTGCATGTCGTTGTCTCGTGTTTTGAATAAAAAATTTGTGTACTGCTGTGAGTGTTGTAAGACATTATGCATATATCACTTTTCTGTTGTACATCCCAACCTGTTTTCACGGTGCTACCTAGTTCAGGTATCTTTATATGTTCACTTATTTGTACATGTTTTGTTTCTAAAATCTGCATTACAATCTGACTGATTTCTGCCCATTTGCAGGTAGCATCATGAGCAGCATGAGGAGCACTGATGAGTCGTCGTACAGCGACACTTCCAGTGATGGACCGAGCACTGTGACCGTGGCAAAGGCAGCATTCATCTTGTTGAAAGGTATTATGTCACAGCAAAGGCCTGAGGTAAATCCTCCTTGTCCCATTCCTAAGCTTTCTGGAGCCCAATGGATGCAGCTTACCCTTGCTGTGGGAAGCAGTGGAGCAGATACAGCTTAGGCTAGGCTTTCTTTAAGGATTCTGTTCCTCAGAGATATGATTTCATCATATTTGTTATTTTTTTTGTTCATATGGATGATTGAACCAGAGGTAATATGAGTTTGCAACTGGGCATGCTGCAGGTGCATAATAAGAGAAGCTTCCAGTTGACGGAAGAAGACGTGCTTCGTGCTTCTCAAGCTGTGCTTCCGATTGCAAAGGTTATGATATCCACGGCACAAGTGCATCTTATCCTTGCAAGTTCCGGTTGTAGTTACCTGACATTTATCCATGTTTGTCCTGAAAGCAGTGTTCCCTTTCTGTAATATTAGTTCTTACCTTTTGTGATACTAAATTTCTGAAAAGGGTGTTCCAAGTGGTGGGGACAATCCTGTTGTGGTTCCAGGTGCAGGAATTGGTGCCTTTGATGCCTTGCAACAGCTTCCACAGGTACTAACTGTGCATCTTCGTACATAAAAATAAGTAATGAGCCTGTAATTTACTTACTGTGATTGGTCCTAATCAGTTTCAAGCACTGCTTCAGTTGGACCAGAAGGTGCTACTGGCATGGTTGTTATAGTGGAAGGATTTGTGTTGATAATTTTGTCTGACACAACTAAAGAACATGTGAGTAATTGTCTTATCAAGATTATGAAGAAAGATTTAAGCTGATCTATTTGGAATAATTTTGTCTTAATGTGCTCTTGTTGGATGACACAGATCCGTGTGTTTGCTGATCATGTCGCCGAAAGATCTGAAATTACCACAGGAATCACCAGAATTGGTGATTATGAACTGCATGATCTTGTTTTTCGGAGTAAGTGTACCCTGAAATGTACAGTAATCGTAGCTCGTTCATTTTGATTACTTACCTGTACTCGTCAACCCATTTTCAGCAGCTTGTCATTTGGAGTAATTATAAGGGTGGAAGCTGAAGCATTTCAGGTAATAATATTATTCTAGTAAGGGTGATTGTACTTCACACTATACTTACTAAGGTGTATATTTAGGTTCTGAAAGGAGTGCCAGATAGACCTGTAGTTGTGCTCGTGAAGTTAAGAGAAATAAAATGCAAAATTGATAGGCGCTCATCAGCTAAAGATCCTTCTAATAGTATTATCTCTACAAAGGAAGTCGTAAGGGTTATTGAAGGAGCATGCAAGGTGTTTCCCAGTTCTGTTTGTTACGATTTTGGTTGGTTGTTTTGACTCCTGTGTATCTCTTATCTTTATTGTATTTACATCTGTATTTTATCAAATTAGGGGAAGCAAGGACCTGTGGAACACATACACAAGGGGATACTGTTTATCTATGACAGGCATCACCTTGAACATGCAGGCTTTATTTGTGCAAAAGCGCAATCTTGCCTTCTTGTTGCTGGATCAACTGCTGGCCGTCGAGGAATGTTCGTACTGAACCCTTTGGATCCTTAGTCATGCATGAGAATTTGCCTCATTTTTCACGTTGCTGATGCAGGGTATGGACACAGCTGATGCACGGCTTGGTGCTTTGAGATCTTCAGCAAGCTGTCTGCAATCTCCAGGAAGGCTGCCCCCAAGAGGACCTAATATGAATTGTATGATCTTATTTTGATACTTCCAGTTTCCAAGTTGAGTATCCACGCTTGGTGAAAGAAACTCCTGAGGGTGGTTCTGGAGGGTAAGCAAAGCTGCATAATTATGTTAACAAGTCATGGGTACTATACTGCTTTGTGAGATGTCGTGGACTTGTTGAGTATCCACGCTTGGTGAATGAAACTGCAAGATGTTGTACAAGTTATTGTGAATCGATGGAACAAATGTTGTATGTGTGTTGTGTGGATGTAACATACGGACTGTAAATTCATGGTTGAACCTGTTGTTGTTGTTGGCTGTAATTTCGAACTCAGCATGATCATGACATGGCTGGAAGTTTGAATTTGAAATTTTAAAATCAGCATGAGCTACTATTGGTGCAAAAAGCAGTTGGCGCCATTCTTTGAACTTTTAAAAATATGCTGTTGGCTGGAGGCTGGCTGGAGACTGGAATTGGCTGGGTGGGCTGGCTGGTCCAGCCCTAGCACCAGCCAGCCCAGCCAGCCTACCGAACAGGCTGTTTATGAGTAGTCAGGAAACGACATTTAAATTTATTTTTTGGACGAAGGAAGTACTACATTTTTTATATATATTTGATCGAACATGATATTGCTTGACTCTTTATTAAACGAGACTTACATTCTTCTTGGAGCATACTCTCTGTCCTAAAAAAATTGATGTTCTAGTATTTTTAAGAAATATAAGTAGAGAGGAGAAATGACTTTAGCACCCCTATTTTGTTACAGGAGATTTCTTTAAAAAGAGAAATGTTACGGTTAAGTTTTCTAATTAAAGTGTCATTGCATGGTGGTATGTAGAGAAAGTGCATGTTAGATACCTAGAACATCAAGTTTTTGGAGACATTTTTTTTAAATAACAGAACATAAGTTTTTTGACAAAAAGATTAGGAAGTATTTGATAGTAGGTCTTTCACTCTTTATTTGAGTATGTGACATTGGCGCGTGTATTTGTGGTGAAAACGCTACCCAAGCCTTGAATTTTAAACTTTCCTTTTAACAATTACTCATACTAATTTGCATCCAAACTAGTTTTTATTTGAATTTGACTTTAACTTTGCGCTTGTTTGGTGGGCTTGTGGAGGACGTTTGACTCTGACTAAATCCTGTCAAACGGTCATTCAAGAAACGGTTCCAAGAAAAAACCCCAAAAGAAATGGAGCCATTTTTCAAATTTCCAAACTACACAAAGCCGTCACTGAAACCGTTTTGGCCAAGGTGTTTTAAAACAGCTTCCGTTCCATTAAGGGTCCGTTCGATTACTAGGGAACCGCTCCATGGAATAGTTCCTTGCCGGATTACTTACTTAATTTACATAGCCTATGAGCAGCAGGAATTATTCCTGGTCAATTTTTGCCTAACCGAATGGCTGCTCTAGGAGAAGAAATAAGCCGAACGCTCTCCTTTCATTTTGCATTTGCAAGCCTAAATAAACGTGGACGACAGAACGGGCGTTTGTTGGGCATATACGTTTGGTTTGGGCCTTTGGCCCATCTCCTGGCTTTTTTCTCCAACGAGTCTCAGCTTCTCCCCAAAGAAATTATGGCGGCCGCCGTTGCCGTTTTTCGCGCCGCCCTCCGCCGGGGCCGTCCAGCAGCCGCGGCGCTACTGCACCAACGTCCCAACCCCTCCGCTCGGAGCCTCCCGCCGCCGCCTCCTCTCGGTAAGGCCAGTCTCCCCTCCCGAGGCTAACCCCTAAACCCCCCTCAGTCCCACACGACCTCACCGTCCGCCCCTCTCACCGCAGGTCGAGCGCTTCCTCCCCTCCCGCGGCTTGGTTTCTCCGCCAGCTTCGGCTACTCCACCGCCACCGAGGAGTCGACGCCCGCCGCGAGGCCCAAGGGCAAGGCCAAGGCCAGGAAGAACCCCATGAAGCAGTCGCGCTTCGACTTCACCAAGGTGGACGCCGCGCTTCTCCCCACCGTCATCCTCGTCGGCCGCCCTAACGTCGGCAAGTCAGCCCTATTCAACAGGTGAGAGGCGCCTCGGGAAGGCAGCCCGTCGTTGGCTCTCGCCTGTAGTTTCTGTGCCCCTCATGGGGCGGCATTTCCACGAACACCTTCGGTCTCTCACCGCACCCGTAGCACAAGCAACCATTTTGTATGGCGCGCATTTGTTCAGCTGTGCTGGCAGAGATATATATCTCGACTCACCAGCATTGTATGCACAGATGCTTAGCTATAGCTGCCTGCTCCTCGGTCTTACACACATGATTCCATCGATGTTGCTACTTGCTACTATGAAATTATTCCTTCTTGAAATTTTGTCGAGTGGAGTTTCTGTCGTATTATGTTATATGTTAGAGCACTGCTCGATTTATAATTTCTCATCTGAACTGTTTTGGCGTTTGCATTAGATTTATACGGAGGAGGGAGGCGTTGGTGTACAATACTCCTGGGGACCATGTCACTCGTGACATCCGTGAAGGAGTTGCCAAGCTTGGAGATCTCCGTTTCCGCGTGCTTGACTCAGCTGGACTTGAGACTGCAGCAACATCTGGGAGCATTCTCGCTCGGACCGCAGATATGACAGGGAATGTATTGGCTAGGTCTCAATTTGCCATTTTCTTGATTGATGTGAGGTGAGTCAGATAAATATTGTTCTTATCATGGAATCAGTTCAAAATGTGGTTACTTGTTGCCTAGTAAAATTGCAACTCTCTTTGAAGGGATGGTCTGCAGCCGCTGGATCTTGAGGTTGGGCAATGGCTGCGGAAGCATGCATCTGGGATACATACGCTTGTTGCGATGAACAAGTCTGAGTCACTTGATGAGCATGGACTTCTGACTGCTGCTGCTGGAGAAGCACACAAGTTGGGGTTTGGTGATCCTGTTGCAATATCCGCAGAGACAGGCCTGGGGATGGCAGAACTCTATGAGATACTCAGGCCATTGTTTGAGGAATACATGTTTCAGCTTCCAAACAGTAAGCCCATAGCAATATATGCAATGGTTTGGAACATATGTCGTTTGGTTCGATCTTTAGTGGCCAAGTGTTAATTTCTTTGACCAAGCACTTTGTGTTCGTCTATTGTTATACTTATTGAAGAAACTAATACACTATTTTACCATTGTGAGCCTGTGAGGCATTAGTATAAGCAGATATTAGATATTGGTTAGGTATCAAGGTGACCTAAACAAAAATAATAGCTTTATCTGCTATATTGGTCTCAATTTTAGTTCCACTGAAGTTGATGCATTGAGTGAAAACAATTACAGCATTCGGAGATCGATATGCTTCTGGTTTAAGGAACCCATTTTAGTGAGGCGTCTTTAGGAATTTCGGCAGTATTATTTGTCCTTAGATTAGATAATGCTATATGTTTCTCTAGCAATAAGAGATTTATGAATCTACACCATTGGTGCTATACTGATATTGAGGGGAACCATGCTTTGAACCTACGAACTGACTATTCAACATTGACATGTAATAGATGACCTCAATCAAGATGATCCTACCTCGGAGGTTGAAACTGAGGCCCATGAAGGTGACGAGAGCAAGTTACCTTTGCAGTTGGCAATTGTGGGACGTCCTAATGTTGGGAAGTCCACCCTTTTAAATACCTTGTTGCAAGAACAGAGAGTTCTTGTTGGTCCAGAGGCAGGTCTAACAAGGGACTCGATTCGGGCTCAGTTTCAATTTGATAATCGAACCGTGTATTTAGTAAGTTAACTGTTCCCTGTTAGTTTACCATACCTTTTGCAACACCATATATTATATGGCTACATTTTTGTGCTTATATTGTGAACATTAGTTGTGATGTGTTGTAACACTTGCACTTTGTGGGCTTAATAATTCATAACAATTTTTGTACTACCTCTGGTAAAAAATACTTGAAACTATTGTTTTTCTTTTGGTCTTCAAGTACTACTTTGACCATTTTTTTGGAAGTTCTTTCAAAAGACAAATATACTCATATAATATTTCTGTTTCCAAACTAGATATTTTGGAAGCTGTTGGTGGTCAAGTTTTAAAAGTTTGAATGGATATTTGTCAAAGTGTCAAGTATTTGTGACCGGAGGTAGTAATAATTAAGTCTCGACTGTGCTTGTTTTCTATTGTGTATATTGTGCTTTTTCACCTCTTATATTGACTGTCTAAATTCTGGGGTTCGGAATGCTAGAAATTTGTTTTGGCTCATCCCAAGACTTGTCTACTACTGAGATAATTAGCAACACAGAAAGTTGACTAGGACAATAATTACGTAGGCTCTACAACCGATACCACCAAATATGAGGATCTTATATGTCTATAAAGCTGGCAGCTTAGCCAAACTGAATCATATAAAATTTTCATTCAATTTGTTACTTGAGCACGCTAAACTTACCCAAAACTTATGATGCTTGTTACAGTGTAGGAGTTCATAGCATGGTGTTCATGCAAGCTGTTTCTGTGTGGCTTGTGGTCTAATCATCTTCATTTTCATTTTCGTAATGCAGGTGGACACTGCAGGTTGGATGGAAAGATCAGGGAAGGAGAAAGGGCCAGCATCTTTGAGTGTTGTGCAGTCTAGAAAGAACCTAATGAGGGCTCACATTGTTGCTCTTGTGCTGGATGCTGAAAAGGTACTTACTGTGATTTTGATATCCAGAGCCAGTGACTTACAGGGTGTGTTAATAGTTCTACAGGGTGTGTTAATAGTTCTGTACATATTTACATGGCACTAGACTTGCTGGATACTGGTTTAAGCATGTGTTATCTTGATGTTCTGGTGCCAGGGCCATGTTAAATCATTGAGCATTAAGACCAACCCCATGACCATGAGTGCTTTCAGTGTGCTTGGCTGATATTACCAATGTCTTCATGCATTTTAGATTTCATTTGAATTATAATGTACAGTCCCATGATAAAACTCTATGGATATGCAGATTGCTAAGTCCAAAAGTAGCATGAATCACCCAGAAGTCGTGATAGCACGGCAAGCAATAGAAGAGGGCCGTGGACTCGTTGTGATTGTCAATAAAATGGATCTCCTTAGAGATAACCAAACGCTGTTTAACAAGGTTATGGACGCTGTTCCTAGTGAAATTCAGACAGTCATTCCTCAGGTAATTGTTATATTTTATTAGTTCATAATACACTGGTTTTCAACCTTGAAGACATGATTACCAGTCACAGTTAAGGGCTACTAATAACTCTCCAAAACAGAACTGCACTCTCTCTAAAACAGAACTGTTAAATGGTAACATGAATGTTCAGTTATTCTCTGCGTGAATACAGGCAACTTCTGATTATATGGGGTTCCTCTCAAAATTTGTCTGTTGTTAACATTTTTTTAATAATTGATGAGGCGGCATTCTTTGATTAACTCTACACTTTGGGTTATCATGCACACAGATTTTATTTGTTTACTGTTGATTCAGTTTTATTTTGGTAATCAGCACAGATTCAGGTGCTTTGCTATGTTTACTGATGGAGCAATGGATTTGTCATGTTCCTCGATTGAAAAAGCCGCATGAGTTCTTTTGATTTGGTGTTTGTTAATAACCAGAGATGCTGTCTAAATTTCTTGGTCATTGGCATTTTTTTTTATCTTTCCAGACATGTTGCATGCGTGCTGCCTCCTAACTAAGACCCACCCAAATATTTTTCTTTAGCTGAAAAGAATGAACTGATACATTCTGGAATATGTTAGTTTGTTTCATATTCTTATGGAGTTCCAAATTGCAAAATGTTGATCCCCCCACCCCCTTCCTTTTGGCAGGTGACAGGAATACCGGTTGTTTTTGTGTCAGCACTGGAGGGGAGGGGACGGATTGCTATGATGCGCCAGGTTATAGATACCTATGAGAAATGGTGTTTAAGATTGTCAACATCACGGCTCAACCGTTGGTTGCGTAAGGTAAATATCCTGCTTACAGAAATTTTATTTGGTTGTTTGCTTGTGTGTGTGTGTTCTGTAGGAACACTCATTTAAGATGGATAGATAATAAGAACTTAGATCTCATACCTTAAAAATTCAATTTAGATTGTGTAGATCCAGATGAGTTACCTATATCACAAGGAAGTGGAATCTGTATCAGTGAAAAGTAGAATGGTTTAGGAGATCCTTCGAAAAATTTCAGTGCCTTCTAGTAGTTGACTTGGTATTTTCCAGTATCCTTTTTTAAGATGACTTCTTACTCTGTACATTCCCATGCCTACCACTCGGTTTGTTTTGACTGCATGATGTTCAAAGTTACTGACTACTCTGGCCAGACATGCCATTCTGGCATTTATACCGATCATTACCTCTAATACCTTGTGATTATGCTCTAGGTTATGAGCAGACATTCCTGGAAAGATTCAGCTACTCAGCCAAAAGTCAAGTACTTCACTCAAGTGAAGGCGCGACCACCAACATTTGTTGCCTTTATGAGTGGGAAGACTCAGCTTTCTGATACAGATATTAGGTTCTTGACAAAGTCTCTCAAGGAAGATTTCGACATTGGGGGAATACCGATCCGGATCGTACAACGTTCTATTCCAAGAAAAGCTTCTGCAAAGAGCAACACAAGGAACACTGGGCCTAGGATTGTCAGGATGAAAACAGACAAACGAACAACGGTATCTGACCCTGCTCTGTCATAGAGGGCGAACATCAGTATCAGTATATGTTTCTTGTGGGGTTTAAGGTGCCGATGAAACAGAAACTGCTGGGTTCCAGTCTAGACGTTCAGAAACGAGAAACTGACTGTTGTCGTCTCGGGAAGTGTTACAAACACGTGAGCTAGCAGTTCGGCTGCCTGCATATTCAAAAGGAAGAATGGCAGTAAGAAACAAGCCCAGCAATCTGACTCCTGGAGGAAAACCTACCTTCTTCCGAACAAATAAGAAACGACCTCGGTTTAAATGTTTCAAAGGACGGCATCACTTCGCAACGTTTGGGGTGCAAGGCGGTATTGTTGAGCGGAAGTTAGTCAAGATCAGGTGAAGGGATGCTTTTTCGTGCATCCCTCACATTTTCTGTACAGAAAATATGGTAGAATGATCTCTGATGGTAGTGTCGGAGGCTTACCGATCATCATCAGACAACAGCTGCAAGCTTACACGGCACCGGGAGCCCCTTTATTATTTTTCTTTTCTCTGAAGGCAACTCCTGTGTGTACTGTAGGGGAATTGCTATGGTTCTGCTTCTGATTGATCCTAGTTCTTGTATCATTTTCCTGAACAAAGAATGTTGCTATGAGCTTTCCAGTAAAGGAAGAAACAATTGCTATGCAAAAGTTTCGCAGTTGCTCTACTTGAATAGTTTCACCTGCAATTTTGTAACATTGTCCGTTGGCATTGGATAGTCGATCGGATATTCAGGTGTTTCATCCACAAGCGAAGCCCTGGAGAGGTACACGCATCAGACAATTGGTGGTGGAATCGGATAAGCGTGCGCTGTGGAGCACTGCCGGCGTGGTCCGTCCGCCCGTGCACGGTGAGCACGGGAGCAGAAATCCCTCGCGTACGGGAACGCACCCGGGCCCTTCCAAAGCCCAGATCCCCACCCAACCTAACAAAAAGGCACGCCCCACCCTGGCCACCCAGTCCCCACCGCCGGCCACCAAGCAGGCGCCACCGTTCGGTCCAGTGGTCCACCATGCCGCGCTCCTCCTCCTCTTCGTCGTCCAACCCCTTCCACTCCCTCGCTTCCGCCTTCCCCTTCCTCTCCTCCCCGTCCCCATCCCCACCTGCCTCCGCCTCGCCCTCGCCCTCCGCTCGCCACCTCGCCGTCCCGCTCCTCCTCCCCGTCTCCTCAGCTTCGGCCTCGGCCTCGGCCTCCTCCGAGTCCCGCCGCGGGCCGCAGCCGCTGCCGGGCGCGCGGATGGCCAAAGCGGGCTCGGCCGGCCGGGGTAATACGGCTGGCGGTGGCGCGGGGCCCGCGTTCGTGGGCCAGGTGTTCACCACGCTCGACCCATCCGGGAACGGGCTCATGGCCGTTACCACACGCTTCGAGCTCCCGCGCTTCCTCACCAACAGGTAATAGCCGCCCCCAACCGGTGCCCTGCACTCTGCCGTGTTTTCCACACTGCGCCTCTGCCGCCGTCTTTTGGATAGGATTGCAACATACCTGTAATTCTGATGCTCCACCAAATCGAATGTGTTAGCCTGTAGCTCTGTACTGTGTGCACGCTAATTTGAAACCAATTCGACTCTTGTCATGTGAAGTAAATACACGCATCATGGTAAATTTGTGATCTGGATGTAGTATGTTAATCCACCGAGCAATGTGGGAAAGGTCAGGAAAAACATTCTCGCGGTTGACTGCAACATATAGTTATATATCATAGCTGAGCTAACATTTTAACCTCTCCCCCGATCCTGCTAATTGGCATTTTGAAATTTATTCTTGTTTCAGGACTCCTATGTGGTTCAAAAGGATGTTATCACCGTTGAAGAAGAGCGAAAATAATCCAGTATTTAGGTTTTTTATGGATCTGAATGATGCAGGTAATGCTGTCTCTAAACGTTTCTTGTTCTCCTCTGCCTGATGCTTTTGTGATCATATCAGTTATTTAAAGCCTGTTCACACCAGAGCATATAAATACCCAGTTAATATTATTTCAGTTCTCTTAAGTCCAACCTTGGGAACTGCTTTCGAATAATGTAGCGGATTTAGATTAACATCGGGACTCTAGGCTACCATTTTTCTTCTTTTGCAAAAATTGGATATTCAAGTGTGGGCATGACTAACACTAACAGTTGCACTTTTCCCTTAAGTCCAACCTTGGGAACTGCTTTCAGTTAGGGGTAATAAAAGTTGACTGAAGCCAATTCTCAGCTCTGTACTTCTAGGTTAATAGGTGTCCTGAACCCAAACCTGAGTGCAAAGCACCCCTATCTTTTGGCACGGCGAAACTTGTATAATTAATTCTGAGGACTGTGACCAGCTCTGGCAAGACAAAAAGCTCCACAGTTGCTTATTGACCTATTGGGCAGGTTAAAAAACATCCACTTTGGTTCCTAGTTCTCTGGATGTAATTTACACTTTCTTTTGGTGGTGGTAGGTTGCACTATCTTGTACCAAGAAAGGATGCTTTATTTCTAAGCAGGATTTATTCATAATGCCGTCTAAAAGAGCTTGATTTCTCAGCACTACCTTTTCTATAACAATGTTCTACAAATGTAGTTATCTCCAACTTATTTAGTGAGTCTGAAAGGATTTGAGCTAATTTGCTTTATCGTTTCCAGTATCCTATGTAAAGCGACTAAATGTGCCAAGCGGTATGGTGGGGGCTTGTCGCCTTGATGTAGCATACGAACATTTCAAGGTTAGTTGTGGTCGTTTTTCAAGGAAAATAATTTTCTTTTCAATTTTTTTTTATGATAAGGGAGTTCTGATATTTTTTTTTATTTGCTCTTGACTTTCTTTTAGCTTTATATTTTGTGTTGTGTCACTGCTGAGCTTTAGTGTCTAGTATTTTTTATAGTATGGTAACACAGTTCCAGGTGCTCCTGTATGGGATTGAGTAACTCATCAGTATCAGTTGTTTGTCACATTAAGAACAACAAAGTCTCTGAATCCAAAGCAAATAGGGCTAAGCTATAGATATGAAACATGACAGGAGTCACAGATATAGAGGTCATACTTTATTCTTACATGATGTGCGTGTTAGGCTTTTCTACCCTTTAAAAATGAGGAAATATTCTTAAAATTGCATCCGTAGTTGCCTCTAGATTCTAGACTAAGGTTGACTCCATCGAATGTAAACTAAATTTTTATAATACTCTTTTGCGAACATACGATAGTGATTACTGATAATGGCAAATAATCACATAGCACTATAATACTCTTTTGCATAGCATTATTAAAGGCTATGTGATTCGGTTCTCTGAGATTGTTAATTAAATTTTCTATTGTCTCATTGCTTTCAAGCAACTCAGCGACATGTCTAGATTTTTATCTGTTGCTATCATTTACTTTTTGGCACATCCATCTGTCATGACTCATGCGTCTACATTTCACACTTGATTGGCACTGTATTATTATCCTTTTTCTTTTTCTTTTTCTTTTTTTTAAAATACTCCATCTGTCCTGGAATGATAATCCGAACCGTATTTTGATTGATCAGGGAAAAGTCGAACAAATTAGATTTTGATCATTGATTCCTCTTACTTTATGTTATCATTTGCTGAAGAATCAACATCAGCTCAGAGGCATTTTGAATACAAATTCATTGATGCAAGTTTTATGTTCTAAACTTGTACGGAGTATATAATTTGAATAATTGTTGATCAAATTTGTAAAGTTTGACTTTTACATGAATATGATTATCATTCCGGAATGGAGTGACACCAGCTTTTTTTGTTCGCAATATTTGTTATTTATGATTTGCACTCTGCATGTTCTCTTTTTAACATTGCAAATAATTTTTGTGCAGGAAAAGCCTCACATGTTCCAGTTTGTTCCAAATGAAAAGCAGGTATGTGCTAAAATTTCTCAGCCTACCTATAACTTAAGCATGCCGTTAGAGATTATATTGTTTCCCTTTCAGGTCCAGGCTGCCAATAAGCTATTGAAGTCACTTCCACAAAGGGGCAGAAGGAAAAAACTTGGTGGCGTTCCTGTTTTTAGTGCGCAAAACTTGAATATTGCAGTGGCAGCAAATGATGGAATTAGATGGTATGGATCTTCCTGATGCCTCTTTGATTATTTCTGTAAATACTCTATATCATCTGTTAATGTTTTTTACTGGCATATCAAAGATGTGTGGTTATCCTCATAAAAAAAAAGGTGTGCGGTTATCTTTTGTTGTCTTTTATGCATGCATGTATAATGTAGTTCCTATGATTTGCACTCAGCATGAGCAGACATCATTTGGACATTGACAAGTCTAAGAACTTTCCTCTTAAATTTATTTTCTGTTTCTGTTTCAAAATTTTAATTTTCTGATTTTCACCTTGCCAGATTTATGTTTTTTTTATTTCTTCTTTATTTTTATTCAATTGTACTGATTTTCGTTTTTGTGCAACTTTGTCACTGAGAAATGTCAAGAAGACGATTATGACATGTCCTCATATGATCCACTGATATGTCCTCATGGACTATTCTGTTTGTGCTATCTGTGGTCTGTATTATAGATAATTCTCTTTGGCACCAGGAAAAACTGATCATATATTTTGGTGCCTTAAATATGTCAGCGCAAGCCTGATATGATTCTTTATGCTCATAATGTCAGGTACACACCATACTTTTTTGATAAAAACTTGTTGGACAATATTCTTGAAGCTTCAATGGATCAGCATTTCCATTCGATAATGCAAAATCGCCATACACAACGTAGAAGGGACATTGTTGATGATAGTTTAACATCAGAAATAATTGAAGAAAGTGCTGAAAGCTTGCTTGTGCCTCCAGAGGTATTATGACCATTTTTTGCACATAAGATGTCTTGAATTTGTTGTTTAGAGCAATATATCTTAATCCAATTTCCGGCTGACAGTACGAGGTACTTTTGATTTAGGTACAAGAATTAATGAATGAGATTGGCCCAGCTGGTATACCATTAAATGTTGTAACGAAAGCTGCAGAGATTCAGTTTCTTGATGTTGTTGATAAAGTTCTTCTAGGAAATAAGTGGTTGAGAAAAGCTTCTGGTATA